ACGCTGGGCCTCGCGGGGTGCGCTGGTGAAGGCGTTTGGCTGCGGGCCCTGCGGCAGCGCTCTGTCGCGGGGCGAGGCCATCCCAGGCTTAGAGCTGGGAGGCAGATCCTGCGCAGGGCTGCGCGTCCAGGCCTGCCAGTGACGCCAAGCCCTTTTCCGAGCTGTGTTTCTCAGGTGCGGAGCGTAAAGACCGGACAGGTCCCGTTGTCCCAGTGGTCCTTCCACGCTCTGCGCCGCCCCGTGATTCCCGGTGGGGTCGTTGGCAGATTTGGAACTACAGAATGAGAACTTTAGCAACCCCTGCCATGCAGGCGCACAGGCTGAGAACTTGAGATAGCGGCGACAAAAGTCTTGCGAAAAATTGGGACATCTTAAGACTGGCAAAGTGTAGCGAGGGGCCGCACTGACAAATGGAAGACCAAAGAAGAGGTGAAGACCAGAGACTCCCCCCCCAAGTTCACAAACTGTTATTCAGTGCCGCTGAATCTTGGCTGCAATGAATTTGCCTTGCAGATCCTTCACTTTAACCAATTACGATTCCATAGAGTAATTTCCTGTGTGAAGTTTCAGACTGAAACAATTGTCCAAGGCAATTAACCCTGAGGCACTGTAATTTTACACATGGATGTTTGTCTGAATGTTCCTGATTCCAGTCTTGTGTAATGGTTTAAGTAAAAGAGCCAACTGCCTGTTACATTATGAGCACCAGACTTTTTTTTTGACAAACATAACATTCTGCCTTTTAGTCTGCAAAGCATGCGTGCATCGGATCTGACCTGGAGGAGTCACTCTAAAGTGTAATTTTAGGATAGTCTGGGCTTGCAAATAAGAAGTGTAGGTAGCCGCTAAAGACCGAGAAGAAATTTCACTACTCTTTTTTTTTTTTTTTATTATTATTATTATGGTGTTGGATTTGTATGGATGACCAAGTTTGCTTCTCCTTCTTAAGCTTCAGAAGGAATAGATTCTGATTTCCTCTCTGTTTTTTTAAAAATTTAACGCTGATTTTCAGGAATGTTCACAGCTTCATCTCAGAGTGTTTTCTTAAATAAGATAACAGTCATTCCTTGATGTGGGTCTTGTTGCTTAGTCTGTGTATCCTGCAACGTTTCAACTGCCAGTAGATTGATAGTGCAGTAGGATTTGTATATGTGTATACGTATATATATTAAAAAATTGTTTATATATATACATTCATAGCAAGCGCACTTAAGGCGGATTTCTAAAATAATTTCTTCTAAAACATTTGCATTTTTTAACAAGTCTTTGAATCCAAATGTGGGAATTTACATCTATCTATAATCTAGTTTTCTTATATCATTTAATGCAGGTTCCTGCTCTTCAGCAGAAGAGAACTGTAGCATTTCTAAACCAGTTTGTGGTTCACACAGTGCAGTTTCTCAACCGCTTTTCTACTGTTTGTGAAGAGGTATGTTTATTATTTTCCCAGCTGTCAGTTTATGCAACAAAAAAAAATTCTAGAAATGAGAACCATTCACTTCAATATTTTTGATGGTAGATACCGGTAGCTTAAACCAAAAAATTTAGTCTGCTTTCTGTTCAAGGCTTCACTTGAGTAAGTGCTTAAGACAGATCTTTTTCCCCGAGATATCCATATGAACTGCTGATTATACCACACTTAATCCTGTTTCCGTAAACTTTTGTATTTGGCACAGTCTTTGAACTTTTTGATACATGAGATTTGTTCTGAGCAGCTCCATCTGTGGATGTCATTGTGTTTTGGAAGGATGCCGTACTCCTATGGTACCGAATCCCTTTTGACAGTCGGTATCCCTCTCACCTGTTTTTCTAGGATATTGAATCAAAACTTGCTTTCAGATTTTAGCACCTTTAATTTAAAAGGGTGGTACACTAAGCTCTGAATGTAAATAATTTTGATGCGGGGAAAAAAGACATTTTTAGCAAGTGATGAGTATGGAATAGGAAGCAGTTAATTTTAGTGTCTTCTAAAAAGGAGAAAACTAAAAATATTTAGTGTTAAGAAATTTTTGTGGTGACTTCAGCTTCAATGGAAATATACCAGACGGACAGAACTAGAGTTGTCGACTGAACAGGACAAGAGTGCTTCTTCCCTTGTAGAAAGGGTGTTTTCTAATGTGGCTTTGAGCTTAGCCTTTTTGTTGTTAGTGGTTTTTTTGTAACTGTTCGCTAGTTTATTCAACAAAGACTACTATACAGCCCTAGCCAGCAGGGCTAGGGCATCAGTCAAATCCAATTAGACTAAACCATGTAATCTGAGAAATTCTGTTATTTGTTTGCAAAGTTTAGAGCCAGACCCGTGACAACTATAAAATTTGGCTACCACATCAGCATGTGGAGCTTCAGAGGAGAAAAAGTAAATTTTTTTGTAGATTTTTAAACTTGTTGTAACTTGATACATGGGACAGTGTAACTGCCTGGTGATGCTGTTGTGAGTTGTCCAAAACTCAGCTGTCACATGATCTCACTATTAGCTCTTACATAGGCACTATGGAAATCAGAACACACTTATTTAAAGCCATCTTAAGCACACAGCAACACTGTGAAATCTAGTTAATAAAACAGTTATTAGTTAACCTGAATGTGTTGTTACCTAAGAGACTCAATAGTTGCTTTATAAACTCCTTGAAAACTTTTTTGTTTTTATGAAATCCAGAAGTATTTTTAATGTGAAAGGTCCCAGTGTAAATCAATAGAAGCCAAGAAATCCAGGATTAGGGTTGACACCATCCTTAATTCTAAATTTCTTGGCTCTTGTCTGGTCAAACTGACCCATAAAGTTATATAACTGTCTTTTGTACATCTTTTCTCCCCTTTCCCCAGCTACATGTAGGGCACATAGTTTCTTTCAATAGGAGCTAACTCTTCTTCATGAACCAAGAACCATCTGTCTTTCAATAGGAGCTAACTCTTCTTCATGAACCAAAACCATCTGTAAACAAGTCAGCGCACTATCCAAAAAGACTAACTCCTGTCAGTCTCATTTTACTTCCAGCATATTGGCAGAGCTGCCATTTTCTTAGGGTGTTAAAGTTCTGCTTCAGAGCCAGACAGAATCTTGCCAACGTGCCAGAAAGCTGTCAGAGGGGTACATAATATGCCAGCCAGCATGCTAGCCAACTTCACTTGGACAGGTCTGGTGGAGTATGGTACTGATTAGTTAAAAGAGCGGCAGTTCTTACAGAGTAATTTTGAAAAACTTAAGTTGTATTTAAAAAAAAAAAAAGTGTCAGAATTTGATTGAGGTGCACCTGGAGCATATAAAGCTTCTGGTTGGTTTTGGTTCACTGTGCATTTTGACTGTATGGGACTTTCAATCTATCAGATTTTTCTGCTTTGTATTTGCTTTGTTACATACACACACATCGCATCTTCTCATCTTCCACATTGGAAAAAGCTTTGAAGAGAGATGTTTTGTTAACTGTGAGAGTACAATATGTCTACCATTATTCTCCAGTTGCCCACAGTAATACTCTATTTGCCTTTGCTTTCTTTTGTACATAGTCTGTCTTCATTTCTGTCGGTCATTATTTGGGAAAACTAACTGCCTAGTAAAATTGCTTAAAATCTGAACCACTGTAGCTACTCTACTGAAAAGGGATGTCATTGCTTCGTTTATTTCATAATATTCAGCTCATTTACACTCTATTGTGCCTTCATCGGGTAGAAGACAAAAGTGATTCTGTTCAGCTAGTTGTGAACTGTTCTATAAGTACAAGTGGCTTAGGGGAATGTTTTCACACCCTCATTGTTTTCTATTCTAGAAATTGTCAGCGCTCTCTCTCCGTATCCAGCAAATTGAAACAACACTCAATATTTTGGATGCAAAGGTTTGTATATGTACAGATTTTATCTTCGAACAGTGACAGCCTCCTTGATTACATGACCTAGCTTCCTTTTCGTAGTTTGAACTGAGCAAATAAGTTTTCATAATGATTTGAAGGAGCTAATACAAATTCTCACATGGCAAATTCTCTCTTTGCATGCCTTGCCACTTACATTGTGTAACATTTGAACATATAGTTGGTAGGGAAGAAAGGAACCAACAGCATATAGTGGAAATGTTGGTTTTGTCTCTGTTAAGGCTATTGAACAGGAAAGGAGCACTTGGATCTTGAAAAGGCAACTGAACTACATGGCAGTTTACTTGTCTCAATTTTATTGCAGTGTTTGGTTTTAGGAAAACCGAGGGAAGTTTTCCAGTACTAAAATAGCAAGTTCTGTTGCAGGGTTCCAGTATGAAATTGCATTTGCCTTGGAAACTTTAATAAGATATTTTTGCCCCCTTTATAAAGCAAAAGTTTCTTTGTAAGTCTTACCAGTCTGTAAAAATTTCAACTGGTATAAGTAGCTAGATAGATGCTTTGTGAACCTATTGGTATTGAAATGTGACCTGAATTGGATCTAAGCTAACACAGATGTGTCTGATGTATCTTCTATAGCTAAAAGGACAAAAGGATATAATCTGTAGTCGTGTATTATCATTTAATTTGCTAAAAGAAAAAAAAAACAGAAAACCACCCACTGTACAGTTTTAACCAATCCTTCTTTCAATAATAATGGAAGCAATTTTGGTTGGCTTTTCTGGGAGCAGGGGTAGGACATTTTGAAACCATTCATTAAGAACTTTGTGAAAAAAATACGCTAGTAGTACAAACAGTGCTTACTAACTCTTACTGATTTCAAAATATTTAGAAATGATCAGTATTGATAATTTTTGCAGAATTCCTCATAATCATGTTAAATAGTATTTCCTTCACATAAATATTTGGTGGTATTTAATATCCATTCTCAGCATTTCCGTAAAAGAGTGCAAGATGTAGAAAACTGCAAAATCTGTAACCAGTTGCCCATCTGTTAGGTAACAGTGCTGTTCTTGTCATGATTTGTTTCACTGTAGAGGAAGTAGCAGGGAAGATGGCACGGCCTTTGTGTGGTTCATAAGTGCAGTAGTGAAATGCTGGGAAGGGGCTGAAGCCTTTCCTGCACTGCAGCCCTGGATTAACAGTGAAAGCTCCAGTGGGATGTTTTGGGGTTTTGTGGTAGAAGTCACCTGAATAGAATTTTTTTGTTTGTTTTTTTCCAATCAAAATAAAAGTTGGGGTTTTCTTGCCAATCAAAATTAAAAATTACAATTTTACTAATGTGAAACCTATGTGGCAAATAAGTGGTGAGCAGCATACTGCAGATTTTATTGTACGCATAGACTTATGATACACTCATTTCTTATTTAAACATTGCTTATTTGATGATGTTTTGTACATTCAGTTATCCTCTATTCCTGGCCTAGAAGATGTCAAATTTGAAGTGTCCAGTGCAGATATGAATAGTGTTACGAATGGTCCGGTGGCACAAGCTACTACGGATCAACAGACAGCTGTATCGCCTCAATCTGCAGTAAGTAATGAAGCATAATTAATACATTGAAGGAATATACCTCTCTGTGTCAAGTTTCTAGTCTCTTTCGAAATAGATGGAAGAAGCAAGTCTGTTGGAAGAGCAATCAAATGTAAACATCTAAAACTACGTTTTTGACTAATGAATGTGTTTTAATGAGTGACTTAAAACAAAAAAGAGTATACCCTTTCTTGAATCTGTGGCTTAAATAATTAGAACTAACTCAAATCTGATGGTAAATGCCTCCTTTTCTTCAATCACACTAAAATACGAACATGACTTACATCAAGGGACTGGGAAGGTTGTGAATGAAAACAACAGTTTGAATCACATAATTCCAACTCTTTTCTCTTGCCTTTAGAATGAGCTTTCAGCTCAAATTGGAGTTTCTAACATACTGTCTTTTCAAAGGTTATAACAGTGGGTGTTTTCTATAATCATTTATGTACAGAAAGTGCTTATTATAAGTGATCAACATTAAGATCCTATCCCTGCAGTGAAATTTTGGAGGGGTTTTTTTGTGTGTGTGGTTGGTTGGTTTTTTAACCCAGACTTAAATCCTGTGATTACCACTTCCCTAGGTGAGGCTTTTTGGCTCATTTGTAGATGGAGTTCTTTCCCCAGTTTCCTATTACAGTTTCTTTTCTTGAAATCTCCAATTCCAGTCTCCATTACTCTTACTTGGGGGAAGTTGCTGTGGAGCAGCAATAGCTGGAGTACTCTGCTGCCTTTCCCTTCCTGTTAAAGATTGTAACTCTAATTTGCAGCCAGCAGCATGGGAGACAGAATGGACAGTTATGGACATTGTATGTTTCAGTCATGTTAGAGAATGACTCCCCGTTCTTTTGTTTTCTTTGAAATGTTCCTCCTCTTTGATATTACAGTAGGGACAGTTATTTCTGAAAGAAGGTTTCCAATGATGCTTTCAAATAGTCAGTTAAATAGCAAATACTTTAACTAGTACTATAGTTTCTTGACATTTTTCATTTTTTTAATTAATTACTCTCAAGGATTCTTTGATTTCATGACGTTATTCTTTAGGTTAATGGTTTGTACTAAAAATACAGTTTAAAAGTATGATCTGTATGAAACATTTGTCAGGGCGTCAAATATTTTGAGGAAAAAAGGCATTGGACTACTAGGGGAGATATATAGATATAATCCTTAAAATATTTTTTATAAGGTGAACTTTTAAATTTAGTGCTGTTTTATCCATTAAATACAACAAACTTAACAGGGCTGTTATAGGCCTTTTTTTCACATATTGCGCAATAGCTTAAAATTGTGACTAAAAGTAGAAAGTCACACTTGTAACAGTCAATGACGAAAGATCTGTTTTTTGTGTATTCGTATATCTTGGAAATCCGTAATACTATGAGTGTAGATCAGAATAATCTTGATATAAGAAGAATTGCCCTTTACCCTAAAATTACAAATTTTATGGATTGAAATCTCTCCAAACTCCTGGTCTGCATACCTGACCATTAAAGTGTTATCTTCTCTGTCTGTAGCAGAACAATATACATGAAGAAGGGTTACAGAAAACAGAGGTGGTAACAGAAAATGTCAGAACTGTGGCCAAGGATCCAAGATACGCCAGATATCTCAAAATGGTACAAGTGGTAAGTCAGTTCTCTTACCATTCTTTGGGTACTCCATGATTTTTAGTGGAATGTCACACACAGCTGTAAGTGATCATTAAATGTCTGAAGACATATATTGCATGAGTAATCTTTAACATAGGATAACATCACAATATTTCTAGCACATCTTCTCTAATAAATGAGTTGATTTAATACATTCCCTCAGACAGCTTCAGGCAAGGTCTTTGTACAAAATTCTGCCGATACACTTGTGAACAGAAGGTGTGAAGATGTGTAAATGCAGAGTGGTGCTAGCTGGAGTCACTGAAGATGCCACTGAAACTGTAGTTGTTCTGGCAGAATTGGTGTCATTCCCTACAGGTG